TTAGGTCAATCGAAGCAACTTTTTAGTTCTTTTGAGTCTATTTTCTTTCTGTTGCGGTGTAAGTTTTTGCACTTTTTGAAATTTCAATGGCTTTACCCCGAGCTTATTTTTCAACATTTGCGAATGAAATATTGCGATATGTTGAGCTCACGAGCCATTTTTCATTCTTATCATTCCTCTATTGGAAATCTCCACGACAGTGTGACTGATTAAAAGTTAATATATTGAATTATTAGTATTTTTTTTTTTTTTGTTATTTATGACTGGGCAATAGCCATCAATTGGACTTTGCTATAATCTTATGAAAACGTGTTACATATAACTTGTTAAGTACTCCAATGACGTTTTTAAAACTATGAGTAATGCCCTTTCTAAGATGCTATCTCAATACAAATTGAGTTTTCAACATATCAGTAAAAAAGGAATCATGTTTGAAATTGGATCTTCAAATGGACTATACAAGTCAATTCAAGAGAGACATGACAGACATGTAATCATACACATGAAATATGTCCTACATCTATTTGGGCATCATATGTAATTTCCAACCTATTTTCATTTAAAGGGATTCTTTCCCATAACCAATTGAATAAAAACATATTTGTTACTATTTCTTATTGTTATTATTTTCTTAAGACTTTATTTAGATATTTACATCGCTTTTTAAGCCGATAATCCAGCCAGACATTTATCCAACTCAGCATAGGTCTTGGTAGTTTCCTCCACATAGGTGGCCTTACAGGTGTCGGTGCAAACCGTTTCATCATACTGGATGGTTTGATAACGCAGTTGGATGTATTGGGACTTGCTCTTCGAAGTAGTTTGGATCGTATAGGAATTGACAGCGGCTTGTTCGGACTATGTAGAGGCAAAAAGAAAACAAAAATTATTTTGAAAGACTTTTCTTTTTAGGAATTTCTCAAGAGTATGCCAAAACTTACCGCATTGAAGTAACATTCGAAAAAGTCAGCTGAAGCCACAACTGTGGAACACTTCGAGTACAGCTGACACACATCCTCTGCCAAGGCTTCAACATTACTGCGATCCTTGGCAACTTCCGATTCGACACGTTGCTTTGAATTGGCCGTAGCATTCAAACACGATCCATAGGCTTGTTCATATTCATCTGTGAGCTGATTTAGCTTCGGCAAATATTCCTCGAAACAAACAATGTTGCGTGGTGAATTTCTCGCCGTTGCCTCCAATAGAAAGCTAGACAATCTACGTTCTGCAAATAGTTGGACATTGTTAGTCGTCGGCACACTGGCCGCATGGCAGACCTTTGATATGCCAATCAACAAAGCGAGCACAAATAGGTTCGACATTTTATTTGACAGGTTCTACTGGCGAATGTGACAAGTGAAATTTTTCTACCAACCATTTTATATGATTGACGTTTATGTTATCTATCTCTGTTTGATATGGAAGCATTTCTAAGCGTAACGCAATAGAGATAAAACAAGTAAATGTTATCGAATTTCAACTGAATACGCATTTTATATCCTCCTATAAGCATTAATTGATTCAATCACGATTCAAAACAAAACTTAATTAATAATTTATGGGTGGAGAACAGTTATTAAAAAATCTAATATAGTTTATGAAGAATAATTAATAATCCATATACAAGGTGAGATGAAAAAAACTAACCATAAAACAGAAAGAAAATAGACTCAAAAGAGCTAAAGAGTTGCTTCGCTTGGCCGAAAGTAGTGAACTGCCGAATTTGGTTTTCTCCGATGAGAAAACATTCGTTGCCCAGCAGTTTGTAAACAAACTAAATGATTGTGTTTACTTGCCAAAGAGGTCAGTTGAAAATGTGCAAATTCGGTCGGTCACCAGAACTCAAGCGCTGGCCATGGTGATGGTGTGGGCCGCCATAACAGCCGTGCTCGCTCTACGCTCGTATTAATCGACAGAGGCATCAGAATAAATGACAAATATTATTGCGAAAATATTCTGGAGGGTGGCTTTAATAGCCTTGGACGCGAACATTTGACCGCAGACCTTGGAAATTCCGACTAAGCATAAAAATACCAAAGTGTCGATTACCTCAAGCAAGCGCTTTGCCAGGAATGGACCAAAATACCGCAAAGAACATTCGGACAGCGTGTGACGGTTTCATTGGCCGTTTGAAGGCCATAATTTGTGCCAGAGGTGACCAATTCGAACAAATCTAAACTTATTCTAAAACGTGATGCTATTTCCGATATTTTTGGTTTCATTCAATAAAATTTTAAAAAGATGTAAAAATTATGGCGTTTGGCTTTGTTTTTTATCTCACCTTGTAAGTATGGGCCCACTTTTTTGGCTATTTCCGGGGTCTTTGTCACAGTTTTCAATTGGTATCTCCTGATTTTACCTATTTCGAGGTTGTCGACCACATTTTCCAATCGATTTGGTTAAAAACGTGTAGTTAGGCTACTTTGGTATTAGAGAACCATCTTACATCTAATAACAATAGCTTTATAGTCTCCATAAAACATAGACGTTATGCGGAGGTGTTGTGCTAATGAGAGTCAAAGGGTGAGTAACTTTGACTATTCCCAAGCCAATCTTCCCCTAATTATGACGTGGATAAAACTAAATTGTACTCATTAAATGGCATGATTTTCTAAACAATGCAAATTCAAAATTACAGCTCATTTGAATGGAAATTTAGGTTATAAACCTCTCTCTCAAATTACAGCCAATCACTGAAAAATAGTATCAGGTTTTTTAAAACACTTTAAATCGACCGTTACGTGAAATTATTGCCATGGGTATTTATTTTTATTTAGTTAAGTCATTATTTATGATACAAATTATGCCACTTATGTGAGTCAGATCTGTGAACTATTATGTTTAAAAAAATAAGCATAAAAGACCATAGCGCCAGGCCGGCAACGCGGGCTGGGCCAGCTAGTATTTTATATTTATGAGATAAGGGAAATTCTATATAGTATGAAAAGACCTCCTGGTGTTCCACAAGAAAAACAACTGATCTTCCATGAGAAGGCCTTCTATGAGAGGACCAATTAGGCTTCTGTAAGAAGACCAGCTAGTCTTCTATTAGAAGATAAAGAATTATGGTGAATTCGAACTATCAACTTTAATTTTTTGGGATGGGATTTTTTTAAAGGACATTCCAACAATAATCATATGTTTTTTAAAGAATTTTTCCAAAGGACTTTCCAACTATTAACGTCGATTTTTCAAAGAATTTTTCTAAGGGACGATCCCAACGATAAACGAGGATTTAAAAAAAATCCAAGGGACTAAATCTAGGGACCAACTATTACGGTGCTTTTTCAAAGGATTGTCCTATCTATAAACGCGGATTTTTTAAAAGATTTTTTGCAAAGGACTATCCCTTCTAAAATCGTGGATTTTTTAAAGAATTTTTTCTAAAGGACTATCCCATCTACAACTGTGGATTTTCTATAGAATTTGTCTAAAGAGTATCCCAACAATAGGCGATGATTTTATGAAAAAACAGCTCCGCCCGACTTACACCACTTTGCATATTTAGTAGAGCTTCACATAACAATTAAGAGTTTTATGGGAGAATTAAATCATACAAGCTATGATTATAATTATAATTTGTAGTTCAAATGACTAAATATGCCGAGGCATTTTTATCTTTTCAATACGGGCTTTTATTCCTCATTTAGTGAAATCGGATTAAGATATATACAGGAGCTATTATATCCCATATATTGGCAAAGATATTTCTGAGTTGTATTTGATATATTTTCCTGAATATCATTGTTATGGAGTGCATATTACGGCTGCGGAAAACAAATATAACAAATCGGATGAACAATATATATGGGAGCTATATCTGAACCGATTTTCACCAAATTTGACATACTAGCTTCTAGACTTAATTCGGTCCTATGTGCCTAATTTCATCCCATATTACACGTTTGGTGCACAGTAAAAGGCAAATCGGACGAAGTTATATATGAGAGCTATATCTAAATTTTGAGCGATCATCTTCAATTTCTATAGGGTTCGTCCTTGGCCCAAACAAATGATTTGTGCAAAATTTCATCTGGATAGGGCAATTAATGCGACCTGCACTTTGTTTACAAAAATACATGGACAGACGGACGGAAGGACATACATAAATAGAATCAGAATGTGATTCTATGCAGGTCATCAAAAGGAACTATGGTCGACCTCGTTTCCTTTTGCATGTTACAAACAAATGTACAAACACATAATACCCTGACTACCTTGTGGTGTAGGGTATAAAAATTCTAAAGCACTATTCCAACTATTAACGTGGATTTTTAAAGAATTATTGTTTAAGACTTTTTGAGCTATAAACGTGAATTTTTGAGGGATCTTCTCAAAATGTGGTCTCCTATGAGGAGACCTTGTGATCTTCTATAAAAATACCCCCTTTGTGTATATATATTTGGTGCTTAATTGTGCCGGAAATTTATGCCTCATGACGTTTGTATTCAATCAAAATCAGTGTTAAATAATTGACATTCTACAGCAACATTCTAATTCTTAGTAATCAAAAAATAGAGGTATTCATATAATTTGTATGTTTGCAATAAAACCTCTGATTAATTCAAAATGCCAATAACCTAGACAACAAATACATTTTAAGAAGGGGATTTTCTTTTTTTTTCATTCACTTCCTAAGCACTGCCCATATTTTCATGCCAAAGGGGAGTAGGATAGGGAATGAAGGAATACATACAACAATACAATATACTAATATGATGCGTTATTTTTGTTTTGACCATTCGATGTATTAATCGATAAAGGAATGGCAATATTATCTGGATCTATCGGCTAAGACATCGTAAATATACTTCTTTGGAAAAAAGATAGGGATTTTTGTGGTGCGCAGAGTCTTATACAAGGTTTGCGATACTATTCTCACTTTGTGAATTGGTTTCTTCCGAAAGCAACAACAACAAAAAAAAAAAAGAAGATAAGAAAATATGCCAATACATTGCTGAACTATCGTATCGTTTCATATAAAACGAAAGTTATTTGATTCGAAAAAATCAGTTGCACGACTACCATTCTAACGAAACGAAATAATTTCGAAACCTAAAAAAAAACGTAAAATGTGGATATTAAGTGTATTGATTGTGGCGATTGCCTCCAATGGGGCTCTTTCCATGAATATTGCGCCATTGGTCGAAAGAAATTTGGCCAATACCATTTTGAAATCGAGCCGTTCCATGGAGACAAATTCGCCACGCAATGTCCAATGTTTTTCGGTTTATTTACCTCAAATTAACGAGGCCACCAACAAATACGAAGCTGCCTATACCCAGTGTTTGGATACAGCCAGCAATGCCACAAAGGCCGTTGAGGATGAAGTTGCTGGCGATCGTGCCACAGTCACTCAGCAAGCTGGAGGAATTTGTGCCCTCTACCAGTCATGTTCCCAAAAAGAATCTTCCCTTGATTTCTTTGAGTGCTACAACGAATCGGTAAGTCCAGAAAGAGAGCGAGAGAGAGAGAGAGCAGTCCAAAAATGTGACGAATGAAATTTCTAATTTGTCCGTATTTTCTCTCCAACCAACAACCATAGGCTGGTTCCGCTGTCACAACCTCTTATGACATTCAAACCTTGTCCAAAAATAGATGGCAATATGTCAACAGTAGATATCAGGTAATTGCTTACCAACAACAGAACTGTACCGACACCTGTGCCGATGCCTATGTCAAGGAGACAACCGCACTCTATGCTGCTTTGGATGCCTGTTTGGCTGGTGGTGGTTTTGTAACACCCTCAACCACATCCGCACCAGCACCCGAAACAACAGAAGGATATACTACTGAATTTTCAACAACAACCCCCGAAATTCCAACTCCACCTCCTGGATTTTAAATATTTCATAATCCTTTAAAACATTGAAGATGTACTTTTTCGGCAATTGTTTATTGTTAAATAAAGTAATGGAAATGATTAGAGCATAAATATTTATTTTTTAAGGGAACAAATTGACAATAAATGTATACCGCAAGAAATCTCAATTCAACAACGATAACCATGAAAGTAATTGTGAATTTTTAAGGGTTACTAAAAACGTGTGTTATAGAAGGGGATTATTAAAAATATTTTTTTCAAAGGATTTTTAAAATATTTCTTTTAAAGAGCATTCAAAGGTAAAACATATGTTATTTTTAAAAATATCTTTATATTTTTAATTTTAATATTTAATATTTATTTTTTTTTTTCAAAGACTATTTAAGTTTGAAATGTGGATTTTTAAAGATCAAGCAGCATGGATTTTTAAAAATATTTTTAAATGTATTTTTTCTAGGAACATCTAAGTTGTAGACTTTTAAGAATATTTCACTGTGCACCGCAAAAATAGTTACGGGGAAAATCCAACAGGTTATGAAAGTAGAGTTGAAAAAATAAAACACGTTTATCGGCGTCGTGAAAGTTTACATTTTAAAAGTAACCAAAATTGAGGGGATAGGATCCCCCCTATTCCACATTTCTTTAAATTTTCGGATTAAGATTCCTCGGAATTTGTGCATTTTAGGCATATAGTATCATCGGCAAAATTCCAGATATAAATACGAAGAATATTTCTGTCGGGATAGTAGAAAGTCAAAGGGATAGTAAAAAGTCAAAGGTGACCTTCGTGCCGAAGGTGACCAATACGAACAAATCTGAACTTATTCTAAAATTTGATGCTATTTCCGACATTTTTCAAATTTAATAAAATAAAATTTAAAAAAAATGTAAAAATTAAGGGGTTTTAGTTTTTGCAAAGGATCTTGGTCATTTTTATGCCACTATAGTATGGAGGGTATATTAAGTTTGTTATTCCGTTTGTAACACCTCCAAATATACATTTTAGACCCCACAAAGTATATATATATATATATTCTTGATCAGCATAAAATTCTATGTCGATTTAGCTATGTCCGCCCGTCTGTCCTTCTGACAGTCTGTGGAAATACCTCTAGTTTCCGAACGAATTGAAGTAGATTGATAAAATTTTACTCAAATGTATGTTATGTTTGCAGGACTTTTGATATTGAAAATGGGCCATGTAGGTCCACGTTTTGGTTTGGACCCATATAACGGTACTTCCGATATTTCAAATTTGGTATTAGAAGTTCGTAATGGATGCTACAGCCTATGATAGAAAATTCTTTGTGCAGGTCCACGTCATCGTATAATCCCCATATAACGGTTCCTCCCGATATTTGGTATTTTGATGATGGATGTCCACGTCGTCGTATAGACCCTATTATAATGGCTACATTCGGTATTTTTAAGATTTTAACAAAATTTTTAACGGATTTTATTTTTTTGCAAAAATTGCAAATTTCGTTCCAAATGGTGGAGGTTATTTGGCCCGGTCGAATTTACAGCTTTTTTGCTTGTTGTATTCTAAAACTGCATTCTTCAACCGATCTCAATGACACCTGAAATGTGGTTTTTTAGGGATAACTAAAAATATTTTTTTCAAGGACACGTGAAACTTGGACTATGGCATTTGGATTTCTTATTCTTAAGAATGTTGGCCATTTTTGTATTCTAATAGTACATTCTTCAGCCGATCTCACTGGTATTTGCAGATTAAAGGGAAACATATTTAAATCCAGATACTTTTAATTAAAAATGTATTTTACCTAATGTGGAGGGTATTGAAAGTTCGGTTCGGGCGGAACTTAAGGTATTGTTACCTGTTAATATCTTTTTTTAAGAATATCAAAACTAAAACGTCGATGTACCTTCCATTCGAGCTGCTAAAGTGGATTTCATGAATTTTTTTAACTTTCCAAGCTATAAAACCTGATTATATAGAGCGTTATTTAAGAACCTTCCAAGATATAATAAAGATGTTTTTAGAATATATTCCAAGAATCATCCAAGCCATGAGCATAGACTATAAAAGTGGCTTTTTTAATTAAATTTAATACATAATGCAAATACTGTTCAATCTTTATTGAATCAAAAAGCTTCCAACATTTGGTGGTGTTGGAAATGGGGATTCAGTACTCTTCGGTGTTGTGGGAGTTGGATGTGTGGGAGCTGCAGGAGTTGTAACTATTTCTGGTTCGATTGGTGTAATGTTGTTTGGAGGAGTGATGTTAGGTTGTAATGTCGGTGGTGTAGGAGGTGGTGGTGGAGGAGTCGCAGTGGACGATGTTGTCTCCATTGCATAGGTTTCGGTTGTTCTTGTTACTTCTTCCGTTGTCGTTTCAGTAGTTAAGTCCTCAGTTGATGGCAATTCAGATGTCGTATAAACCTCACCAGAGAGGCAGGCCTGCAGTTCGGCATATAGGCCAGTAGTTTCTTGAACATAGACGTTAGAACATGCATCTGTGCAATTATTTTGATTGTACATTATAATTTCATAGTTCAGTTTTAGGTGCTGTACATTTTTGTATGACAGACTTTCCATGGTATCAGTGGTTGTTTGAACTTCCCGAGACTATACAATCGAATAAGGAATTTGAGGGAAATTTAATGAGATCCAAAATTTGGCATACTTACAACATTTGCATAACAATCAAAGAAGTCTTCGAGGAACTCTCCCTCCCTGCCACAATTCCCATACAGATTGCAAATTTGTTCGGCATCATTATCCAATTGTTCACGATCCGAAAGCACAAAATCGTCCAAAGCTTGACGCTCGGCATTTGCTTCATTAAGACATTGTAAATAGGCCAATTCGTAGGTATTGGCAACCTCATTTATTTTTGGTAAATACCAAGCAAAACAATCTACACTTGACCCATCTGAAAATTGTGTCGTTTTTAAAATAGTATTTACCAAATTCGTCCGACCAAAACACATTGACTTTAAAAAAATAATGCCGATTAGAAAAAGTGTTTTCAACATTTTGCCGCGAACCGTAACTGGCTGGATAATTAGTGTCGATCCATTCAAGGGTTGTGTTTTCTTTCATATTTTCACCCATTCCCACTGCCGCTATGATAAACGCAATTCCCAATAGTGTCATCGATTAAAATATGTTGTTATTATTCGGACAGTGATGGGTCTTATCGCAAAGCATTTGATTGAATGTCATAAATTAGGGCAATCTTTAAAGCAAATCGCGTGGTAGCCTATTGCAGATGGCAGACATTATCTGGCACTTGTTTTTGACGAAAATTATAAAGAATTTCTAAAAATAACGGAAGAATAATAAAAATAATAGATTTGGTTCAAAAATCCCATATAATTTGACTGTTTAAAACTAACGTTGAATAATAAAAAGTAATCCAATATAAACGTCGATTATCTACGTTTATTTTTTCAAGGAATATAAGAATATTTGTTTAAGCCTCTTTTAAGCTTTAAATGTGGTTTTACAGGGTGATATGAAAAAACCGCAACCAGCTTCAGACTGCTGTCATTTCTAAGCCACTCATGTTTACAAGTATAAAAAAGCATTTTGGTGAGCATTTCCGGAGGAAAAGTTATTCAAGCGTGATAGTGTGATTTATTTATATTTGGCTGGAAAACCACAAGTGACTATCGTTAGAGCACTCCAGCATTTAAATGTGAATGAATCTTTCATGTCTCGTACCATCGCTCGTTATCGTGATACTGGTAGTTTAACCCACGTCAAGGAATGGGCGAAAGAAAACAGCAACATCAGCATGGTTCGAAAAGTAAAGAAGCGACTTGATCGAAACCCGCGTCTCAGTGTCTGAAAAAAGGTTTCGTGATCTGAACATATCGTAATATTCCATTCGGCAAATATGGAAAAGATAAGCTCGGGATAAAGCCATTGAAATACAAAAAAGTGCAAGAACTTACACCGCAACAGAATGAAAATAGACTCAAAAGAGCTAAAGAGTTGCTTCGCTTAGCCGAAAGTGGTGAACTGCCGAATTTGGTTTTATCCGAAGAGAAAACATTCGTTGACCAGCAGTTTGTAAATAAACAAAATGATCGTGTTTACTTGGCCAACAGAACTCAAGCGCCGGCCATGGTGATTGTGTGGGCTGCCATAAGAGCCGAAGGTCGCTCTCCGCTCGTATTAATCGACCGTGCCATCAGAATAAATGCCGAATATTATCGCGAAAATATTCTGGAGGTTGTATTAAAGCATTGGGCACGCAAACCTTTAGCCGCAGACCAACAGGACTCAGCACTAGAACGCGCCACCCAGGAATGGTTACAAAATAAGGGTTCTCGTTTAATTTCCAGCGCACAATGGCCACCAAAATCTGTCTGAAGTATTTTGGAAAGCAAGGTTGGAACTAAAATATACCAAAGTGTCAAAGAAAACACAACAAGCAAGCGCTTCGCCGGGAATTGGCCAAAATACCGCAGAGCAACATTTGGGCAGCGTGCGACGGTTGTATTGGCCGTTTGAAGGCCATAATTCGTGCCAAAGGTGACCAATTCGAAAAAATCTACCCTTATTCTAAAAGTTGATGCTATTTCCGACATGTTTGATTCATTCAATAAAATTTAACAAAAATGTAAAAATTATGGCGTTTGACTTTGTTGCAGTATTTTTATAATACAGGGTGAATTCTTTTTCAATGGGTTTTAAAAATATGTTTTTCAAGAACACCTAAAACGTGGATTTTTAAAAATGTATTTTTAAGGACACCAGAAACGTAGGTTTTAAAAATTGTTTTTTCAAGGACACCTGAAACGTAGATTTTAAAGATATTTTTCAATGGATTTTTAAAATGACATCTGAAACATGATTTTTTAAAAATACTTTTGAAAGACATTTGAAACTTGGATTTTGGAAAATAAATAAAACTTTGATTTTTAAAAATATTTGTTTCAAGGACACATAAAGTTATAAACTTGGATTTTTAAAAATACACTGAAGCTATAAAAAAGTATTTTAAGGCTATAAACGTGGGATTTTATGCCTTTAGTCATATGGCTGCAGAGGGTATATGTGATTTGATGCGGCCAAAACGTGTCTAATCAAATAAGGGTTTTAGGCGAACAGAAAGACACCCGTCGTCTCTATGGGCCAAATCCGATTCAGAATATTTTGTAATCTAGGGGTGCCCGTTCATCTGTCTGTCTGACTGATAACCCTCGAAATGAGTATCCGATTTGGTCCAAACTTCGTACATCGTAATATTATTATTAAGCTTAGATCGAGCACGAAATTAAGAACGGATAAAACGGACTACTCCTTCTGGCAACTCCCCATTAATTTTAAAAATACACTGAAGCTAAAAAAAGTATATTAAGGCTATAAACGTGGGTTTTTATCTAACTGTTGACTCTTTATGGGGGAGTTTTCGAAGCAGTTGGCCAATATTGTCCAAATCATATCTGAACTAAATCTGATATAAATATTACAATGTGCTACATTTTTGACTATACCATCTACTTCCTTTACTTTATATGAGTTATGTGCAAATTTTTGGAAAATGAGGAAATATGCGTGAGGTACCAGATATATCGGACCGGAATAGTACACTTCTCAAATACAGATAAAAATATTGGTATGTGTAAAATTTGAAGGAAACGGACATTTATATCCAATTTTATACGAAATCATAAATTTTGATATATTTACATCAGATTTCTGGTTACAGAAATATTTTGATATAGAAAGTTGTGTAGAATCGCCGACTTGTTTCGCCAGTTACGACAGATATAAGTTTTGGAAATTGTGACCCCTGGTGAGTTAGGTACCAGAAGGGCTGGGCAGATATTTATCATCTGCATAACAGATTTTGCGTTAGAAATATTTTTGGATGTGTGAAATATATATTTGGCTGGAAAACTACAAATGGCTATCGTTATAGAACTCCAGCATTTAAATGTGAATAAACCTTTTTTGTCTCGTACAATCGCTCGTTACCGTCATACTGGTAGCGTAGTCCGATGTCACGGATTTGGACAGAAGAAAACCGAAACATCAGCAGAAATTGTTCAAAAGTAAAGAAGTGCTTGATCGCTATTTTCCATTCGGCAAATATTGAAAAATGAACTCAGGGTAAAGCCATTGAAATTCCAAAAAGTGCAAGGACTTACACCGCAACAGAAAGAAATAGACTCAAAAGAGTTAAAGAGTTGTTTCGCTGGGCCGAAAGTGGTGAACTGCCGAATTTGGTTTTCTCGGATGAGAAAACATTCGTTATGCAGCAGTTTGTAAACAAACAAAATGATCGTGTATACTTGCCAAAGAGGTCAGCTGAAAATGTGTACCTTCGGTTGGCCACCAGAACAGCCGATGGTTGCACTCCGCTGGTATTAATCGACCGTGATCAGAAAAATCAGAAAAAATGCTGAATAGTATCGAAAAAATATTCTGAATGGTGTTTTAAAGTCTTGGGCACGGAAACATTTTGGTCGCAGACCTTGGACATTCCAACAGGACTCAGCACCATCGCACTCAGCACGCGCCACTCAAGAATGATTACAAAATGAGTTTCCTCGCTTCATTTCAGTGCACAATGGCCACCAAAATCGCCAGATACCAATCAGTTGAACTATTGTTTCTGGAGTATTTTGGAAAGTAAGGTTGGTACTAAAAAATACCAAAGTGTCGATCACCTCAAGCAAGTGTTTAGCAGGAAATGGGCCAAAATACCGCAGAGCAACATTCGGGCAGCGTGTAACGGTTTCATTGGCCATTTGAAGGCCATAATTCGTTCCAAAGTTGACCAATTCGAACAAATCTACACTCAATCTAAAATGTGATGTTATCCCGACATTTTTTGCTTACATTCAATAAAATTTAAAAATTATGGCGTTTGACTTTGTTGCGGGTTTTTTAGCTCCCCCTGTATTTATTGATAAACAAACTTTACGTCCCGTTCTAACTCAACATTAAAAAAAAAAAAAAAAAAAAAAAACACACTTTTGAAACCAAAATTGTCAGAATTTCAAAATTTTTCATTCCATTCTCTATCAGCTATGTCTATAGTTTGCGGATTTTGCAATTTTCTCAGCTCTTTTGTTCAGTTATTTATTGCACTAATATGGAATGGAATTTTTGCATTTGCATTGCAATTATTTAAATTTTCTATTGTCCTCCTAATGACATTCGTACTTGGTTGTGTCGTGTTTTTAATGGTAAGTTACAAGTCCTCTATGCGCTGACGGAGAGAAAACAATTTGAAATGATTTTCATTTTCAGTTCGATGGTGCATCAATTTCATTTGATCAATGGGGAAATGCCATTTCATCGATCAGACGTTTGAGTGATAATCTCATTGAAAGGCAGCGTCGAAGTAATAGTGTGGCTCCAGCTACCTCGATTGCAGTCTCATCACAAATTTCCTCTGAATCGAATAAAGCCAGCGAAGAGTTATAGCTGTAAAGTTACGTGTGTTAGGTGGAAAATATGGTAATAATTCTTGTCCTGAGTGACCCCTTAACACAGATTTACTATTAAAGAAGTAATTGCCCTAAAAATTGTCCTTTTAAATCCAGGTTTATAGTTTGGTCGATTCCTTAAATATCCATTCTACGATTTAAGAGTCTATGACAAAATATATTTAAAAATCACGTTGACAACTTTAATGCTTCTTGAAATATATTCTTAAAAATCCGAGTCTATAATATTGATAATCCATGAATAAAAGGAAACGAAATAGACCTGTAGTTCTCTTTAAATATATTTATTGAATTACATTCTGAGTCGATTTATGCGTGTCCGTCCGTCCGTCTGTCTGTCTGTCCGTGTATTTTTTGTAAACATGTAATTTTTGTAAACTTTTTAAACAAAGTACAGGTCGCATTAATTGTCTGATTGAGATGAAATTGTCCACAAGTCATTTGTTTGGCCCAAGGACGAACCCTACTGATAACAGAATAAGATTTGAATATGGCTGTAGTGCCGTAAGTATTCAGCGCCAAATGCGTAAGATAAGTCCGAATCAAATTAATTTTAGCACACATTGCCAAGTTAAGTCCAAAAGTATGTCTGGCTATTTTGGTGAATATCGGTTCAGA